TCTTAAACATTAAGCTTTTTTTAACTTTTCTAAAGAGCCAGACTGGCTACTTCCCCATCTTCTGGTCTTTACTATAAGCCAAGCTAATCACCCTTCAGCTGTAGCTTCAGATGTGACAGTTCAGTCGTCTTTTTTATTCATCAGACTCTTTGTGAGAAACTTTGAGCGTTTATTAGTTTTCCTCTTTTGCTGGTAATTAAACCAAGTTTGTCTATTTACCATGATTTGAGTATTAATCCACATGCACTTAAAATTCCAAATTGGTTTATTGACTCTAAAGAAGATATTTGTTCTCATATTTCTTGCATGTTTCACGTCTGGTATTTTGTGTGCAGGTGTCCAGAAATGTGTTGGAACAGATCACCAGCTTTGCCTTAGGGATGTCCTACCACCTGCCTCTCGTCCAGCACATTCAGTTCATCTTTGACCTCATGGAGTACTCCCTCAACATTAGTGGCCTCATAGACTTCGCTATTCAGGTACTGCCACTTCAGTCACATTTTATGCAGACAAATCAAGTTAACTTCACCGTTTACTCAGCGTCACGTGTAAACATCTGTTGACTGTGTTGCGCAGCTTCTGAATGAGTTAAGTCTGGTGGAAGCCGAGCTGCTGCTGAAGTCATCCAGCCTGGTGGGCAGCTACACCACGAGCCTGTGTCTGTGTATTGTAGCAGTGCTGAGGAGGTACCACTCCTGCCTCATCCTCAATCCTGAGCAGACAGCCCAAGTTTTCGATGGGTATGTTACAAGTTTTAATGTTTGGAAAAACTCATTTTATACCAGTTTAAATTGCAGTCGGTGGACCAAGACTGCGTTGTCATCTTTCTGCTAGATAAACTGAAATAGAGATTTCATCACACCCGTAAAGGGATGTTTGCAGGGTTAAGGCTTCAGTTAAACTTCTAATTAAAGTAGTAAAGAGAGGATGTGTTTAGTCTTTGCAGAGTTAAAGAATTGTTGTTGGTTTGCAATCATTCAGAAAGGCATTCACTTGACTTTAATTGGGATTTTTATACCGCGGGGATGCTGACGGTGCATTTGATTCCTGAATGCTGTGTACCGTAAAGCACTTAACAAACACCTCTTAATTGCACCTCTAAAGCGCAGTTATTACCACAGTATATCTCTTTCTATTCTTTTGTGGAAACACGTGTTTGGATTTTATGTGGCAGGCAATTTCTTGATTTTTAATGATGCAGGCCAACAGGACCCTCGTAACCTTGCGTATGTGGTGCATTGTTATTACAGTAGTGTTTTTATTAGTGGTTTTTAAATGGATTTTGTTACACTGTTTCCCCTTGCTCCATCACATCCTCCTCAGCATGAAATAACCAACTTTTTCTTTTCATAACTGTACGAATCACATTTTCGTCGTATTCACAGGTTACGCATTGTGGTGAAGTCAGGTGTGAACCCAGCAGACTGTTCCTCTGCTGAGCGTTGCATTCTGGCCTATCTGTATGATCTCTACACCTCCTGTAGTCACCTCAAGAACAAGTTTGGTGAGATATTTAGGTGAGGAAAAAAACAACTTGTATAAATGCACAGGAAAGAATGCATAGACTCATAAATTATGCTAGAATAGAATCATTTGAACCCACTTTTGAACTAATATGTTTGTTTTTTATTGGTCGGTGCAACATAATCTTAACTATTTGTTTTTGCCTTGCTCACCACAGTGAGTTTTGCTCTAAAGTGAAGAACTCCATCTACTGCAATATTGACCCATCAGACTCCAACATGCTTTGGGATCCTATGTTCATGATGGAGGCCATCGCCAACCCCTCAGCCAACAACTTCAACCACTCCATGGTGGGCAAAATCTTGAATGACAGCCCAGCCAACCGCTACAGCTTTGTCTGTAATGTGCTGATGGATGTGTGTGTGGATCACCGAGACCCAGAAAGGTGCGTTACTGCTGCCGGGCTACACGGGTGTCGGGCTGGGATTGCTACACTACTGGACTTTGGTTTCATGACATGTGATGTGCTTTCAGGGTGAACGATATTGGGATCTTGTGTGCGGAGCTGACAGCATATTGCCGCTCCCTGAGCGCCGAATGGCTCGGCATTCTCAAGGCTCTTTGCTGCTCCTCTAACAACGGCAACTGTGGCTTCAATGACTTGCTGTGTAACGTCGATGTAAGTTTCTTTTTAAAGTAAACCTGTTTTCCTTATTGTCTCTTATACAGATACTCTCAACAGTGGTCGAGGCTCATATTAAGCAGGGCTCGCAAAATCGCTAGCCCAACGTCCCGGGGCTAGTGATATCTCCGGTCGGGCGACCAAAATCTATCTCAGACCCGGCCGTCGGGTTATATGATGGCCTGATGGGCGGGTCTGAGTTAGATTTTGGTCGCCTGACCGGAGATATCGCTAGCCCCGGGACGTCAGGCTAGCGATTTTGCGACCCCTGTTAAGCGAAGCAAATGCTAGTTTCTTCCGAAGTTTCATAGTATTTTTGGTTTTTTGGGTTTGTTTTTTTCTAAATTAGGGAAGAATGTTTTTTCACAAAACACGTGTGTTACATTTGATCTCTTGTCTTGTGTCCTTAAGGTTAGCGATTTGTCCTTCCACGATTCTCTGGCAACCTTCGTAGCCATTCTCATTGCCAGACAGTGCTTGCTCCTTGAAGACCTGGTTCGCTGTGTTGCCATTCCTTCCCTTCTCAATGCAGGTAAGAGTTTTTAAATCCCATGAATTCGGGTAAAGGAAGTACTTTGTGCCATTGGTTCAAATATTATTGGTCAGATGCCGGGAGCCTTGATCACATTGGTGAAGTTTACAGTTGTAGTAGTAAAACAGAATCCACAGGAGCTTGATGCTTTTGCCAGCTCGTTTTCACAAGTTCAGTTATGGATGCCTCAAGTGTGAAATTGTAACAATTTGTTATTTTCCATCAGTAAACATCACATTGTTGATCAGCCGGTGTCAGACAGAAAGGACATTTTTGGCAGACGCAGATCTGTTTCCACTATTCATCAAACGCTTTAAGTTTTACAATTCAGCTCCTTATCTTTGCAAAAGTAAAATTAAGCAAACCAAGTAAAATAAATGTGAAGATTAAAAGAAAATAGAAAGCACTGAACCGAGACAAAAGGAAAAAGTAACTCTGTTATGTGTATATGCAAGAGTTGAGATTTAAT